GGCATTTTACTGTTCATCAGCGGAGAAAAACCTGTCGCTTTCTTTCTCTCTCGATGGAACGAACTCTTTACCGTAATTCCTTCGCCGTTTTCTCTTTTCTTGTCTGTTCCGGCCGAAATTCTTACGCCGGAGTCGCATTTCTGGTATCGTGAAGTCACATCCATGTCGCTGTCGCATTTGAACTGAACTTCTCTAAGTTCCGGTAAGTATGTTTCCAAACTTTATTTCGAATTTTCCGACAAGAATTCGACTTCTAAGTTCAATCGCAAGTGATTCCCGTCACTGAAATCGTTTTCCGATGCTTAACGATGGTTTTTAACGATGCTTAAAGCTGGTTTTTACGTCGTTGTTGATTGACATATGGTGGCCGATTTGTTAGATCTATTTGATTTGATGGCTGAGTTACTGTTTGTTTACCGACTGATTTATGATTTATCAATTCATTTGTGTCTGAGTTTGTTATATGATGTGATTGAGTTATGGTTTAACCTTACATCCGTGGCTGAGTTTTTGTTATATGACGGCTGAGTTTGTTTATGTTATGGTTGAGTTTCTGTTATGCTATGGCTGAGTTTGGTTTATGTTTTGATTGAGTTGTTGTTATGTTATGGTTTGACTAAGTTTCTGTTACGATATGGATAAGTTAGATTTATGTTATGGTTGAGTTATGTTATGTGTGGCTGAGATAGGTTTATGTTATGATTGAGTTATGTTATCTATGGCTGAGTTAGGTTTATGTTTTGCCTGAGTTATGGTATCTGTGGCTGAGTTTATTTTATGTTATGGCTGATTTATTGAATGCTTACGGCTGATTTATGTTTTATCAGATGTCTGAAGACCAAGCAAGGGATTACCCTCCAAGATTTTACCCATAGGGGGATTCTAATCTTGAGGTTAAAGCCATTAATCACAACATAAAGCTGGGAGATTTCTTTGCAATTAGAGAATCAATAGGACAAGATATATGGGATGAACTTAAAGAGACACCGCTTGGATTAATTGCTAAGCTTGTTGATAGTCATTTTGTATGGTCTCGTAAGACTCTACATTATCTACTATGCAGATAGTTGAGAATACTGAAGAAGGAGCTTTGGTGTCTCGTGGCTGGTCAACCCATCCGGTTTGGATTGAACGAATTTCGCCATATCACGGGATTAAACACAGATCCACTACCTACAAAAAAGTTTGAGCCTGAAGCGGACTACAAAGCGTTCTTTAGGGAATTGCCTGTGCCAACCGGTGAAGGTCCTAAGTTAGAAGAACTTACGGAAGGCTTAGTAATGTGCAGAGCATGGCCTCCTAAAAAGCGTAGATGGTTTGGGTTATTGACTCTTTTATCCATTGGACTTTATGGCTTGCATCCTAACTCTAGGATACCATTAGAGAGTGCCAAAAGAGTTTTTGATGATGAAGCCATGAAGACTTATCCATGGGGTCGGGCAGCATTTGAAGCCCTTGTTGTTTCTATAAAGTTGCTGAGGCCTATTGGCAAGACGTACACCGTTAGTGGTATGGCTTTCGTGTTGCAGGCTTGGGCGTATGATTCAATTATCACCATCGGCGAGCATTTTGGGAACGTAGTTAAAGCGGATGAGATTCCGTTGCTTAGATGGGGAGGCAACAGTACTCGTGCAATAATAGAATCGGCCATTGCTGAAGATAAGTGAATGGTGGTGAGGTACGGTTTTGGCTCTGTTATGATAGTTATTGACTGAGTTATGTTCTGTTTTTTTATCAAATATTTATGTTACGGTTGAGTTATGCTCTCTTATGATTGAGTTAATGTTCTGTTTTTTTGTCAAGTATGTTATGTGACGGCTGAGTTATGATCAGTGAAGGCTGAGTTATGTTCTCTTTTTTGGCAAATATGTTATATGACGGCTGAGTATGTTATGTAATGGCTGAGTTATGTTATGTGATGGCTGAGTTATGTTCTGTAATGGCTGAGTTATGTGCTGTGACGCCTGAGTTATACTATGGCTGAGTTAAACATACTGATGAGTTTTATTATCTCTTGTGTTGTAGCTGTGTGTGCGTAAAATGGTTCCAAAGGCTGAGTTAAGCGAGCTGTTTCATACTTGGCCAGACGAATTAGAAGACCTAGCACTTGATCACTTGATCGAAGACATACATGAGGCTAAGCTTGTTAAAGGTTATTGGGATGTGAAGACGAGTGAGAAGAAGAAGAAACTCGTAAAAGATAAAGATGCGGATGTGTCTGAAACTCCCGCAAAGAAGCAGAAAGTCTCTCACAATGAGGGTGTTCATTCTCGTGAGAAAGATGCACAAAAGAAGAAGAAGAATAAGAAGAAGGAAGTAGCTGTCAAATCTGATGAGGACGAGGACGAGCAGGATGTTCGGGGAGAACAGTCGCTCGTGGATGCGGTGTCCAACTTAATCTCTCCCTTAAACTCAAGATTTGACACCGTTGATAATAACATCAAAGAAATGTCCTCCCGTTTGGAGGTGATTGGAGATCAAGTAGAATCGAGGATTTATGCAAAGTTTGAAAGAAGGTTTGCATCCATTGAGAACGAGGTCAAACAGATGAAAGAGCATCTGAAGGTCATTGGGGTAGGACTAACTGGCCAAACTGGCATAGTTGACTTAGAATTAAACTCTAGTTTAATTAGAGATATGTTTTTAACCAAAGAGCAGCAAGGCTACCCTAAACCCCCAACTCAACAGACACTAAAAGGTAAAAGGAAACCTACAAATAACCAATCTGTTACTAGTCCTCCTCCGGTAAGCTAATGGCTGAGTTATTACTTTTTATTTAGTTACAACTGACTTATCTTCATATTATACGACTGAGTTATTACTTTTTATTTTGTTACGACTGACTTATCTTCATATTATATGGCTGAGTTATAACTTTTATTTAGTTATCTGCATATTATACGGCTAAGTTATACCTTTTATTTAGTTATTGCTGAGTTATATTTATACATAGGCCTGAGTTTTCATTATTTAATGCCTGAGTTTTCTTTACGTTTATGCAGTCGAAAGAAGTTGTAGTGGTAGAGAAGGATGCTGATATTGCAGAGGTTGGGGTTAGTAGGAATTTTGATGGAGAATTTGCTAAGGCCACTGAAGGAAACAATTTTGATATTGATTTCATTGAGAAGTCTCCTGGTTCCCGCCGTTTACGCTCTACGACGGCGGCGAGGAGAATTTCCAAAGCAAAAACATCACCAAAGAAGAAAGGCAATGTTAAGGAGAAAATATTAAATGAGCTAATCGTGAAAGAGCCAGCCAAAAGAGGAAGAAATGCTGCTACAAAGCCACCTACAAAGGTGCCTCCAAAGGTGCTTCTAAAGGTGACAATAAAAAAGCCAAAATCACTTGAGGAAAAAGCCAAGGAAAAAGCTGACTGTGGTACTTCTTCTGGCCCCAAAAATAAGCCTGAGGAAGCCAAGGAAAAAGTTGACGGTGATACTTCTTCTGTCCCCAAGAATAAGCCTAAGGAAGCCAAGGAAAAAGCTGATGGTGAGAGGGTAGCTGATGATGATTCTATACCTTCTGAAGTCCGTATGCCACGATACGACCAATTTTCATTCCGGCAGAGGGACAAGAAAAAGGTCCCGCAAAAACATATCAGAGGGGACTACAGCGCTTACACGTTAAAGATTCTTGAATGTTTATTTGTTGGTGTTTGTTTTGATGGCATTACTGATGCAAATATCCAGGCTCTATGGGTTAGGATGGCAACAGAGATCTTCGATGAAGCACCGAAAAGGATGGCTGTACGGTTTTTGTAGCAGTGATTGGCTTTTTCGAACATATGTGTGTGTCTTTTGGGATTTTTAGCATGTGATTGTACTAAATATTCACGCTTTAGGATTCATAACCAGAATTATGTCCGTATAAATCTATTAAGTTAATTATAAGTTAAATCGATGTAATTACTGACTTATCATCGCTCAATTCTTTTTACGTCTGAGTTATGCTAACTTGTCATCGCTCAAATCGTGCTATGCTGAGTTATTATACCATAACGGCTGAGTTATCGTAGTTTAATTTGATGTTTGGTGATAAGTGTGCAATTTATATCCCTGTTACACTTTATGTCTTTTACTCGACCAGTCACTCGACCACATCAAGTGCTTTGCAACAAGCTGTGTTGGTCGAGTTTTTTTACTGTTCTACTTGAATTTCTGTTTCCTGCATGTTCACTTAGGACTGCTAGAACACCTCAAAACCTGTTATTGCTTGGCTTGACTCTGTGAACTCTGATTGTATCTTGATTGCTAGCATCACACCCGTTTGGATTGACAACCTAAAATACTACAATGACGTGATTGGTGTTTTAGGATAATTAACTAAAAAACTATTATCAATTTGGCGTCGTTGCTGATTGGGTGTTTGTTTGTTATATTTAAGATTTTAGACTTGCTTAGATCAAGTTCTTTTTCAATTTTTATTTCAGTTATTAACTGTGTGTTTTTCTTGTTGTCTTCTAGATCCAGGTACACCTCTGCTGTACGCATACTCGATCAAGAGGCAACCAGAACCTCCTTTTCAACGATAACATCGACCACATATCTCGCGAACTCAGAGAAAGGAGAAACACAGTAAACCTTGTACCTCACCAACCACTCGAAATGACTGACGAACAAAATCAACAGAATGGCCCACCAAACATTGGTGCTGGAGATGCACCACGGGACCACCGCCAGAGGAAAGGAATTGCACCTCCTACTATCCAGAACAACAACTTTGAGATTAAGAGTGGTCTCATCTCGATGATTCAGGGGAACAAATTTCATGGTCTACCAATGGAGGATCTACTCGACCACTTGGATGAATTTGATAGGCTCTGCAACCTAACAAAAGTCAATGGTGTCAGTGAAGACGGATTCAAGCTCCGGTTGTTTCCATTCTTCTTGGGCGACAAAGCACACATCTGGGAAAAGAATATGCCCCATGACTCAATCATCACCTGGGATGATTGCAAGAAGGCTTTTTTAGCAAAGTTCTTCTCCAACGCCAAAACTGCAAGACTCATAAATGAGATTTCTGTGAAGCATGGGAGCGTTTCAAGGGTTACACCAACCAATGCCCTCATCATGGCTTCAAGAAAGCCTCTCTACTTAGCACTCTATACAGAGGAGTTTTACCACGCATCAGAATGCTTCTGGATACCGCCAGCAATGAAAATTTCCAGAACAAAGATGTTGAAGAAGGATGGGAATTGATTGAGAACCTAGCTCAATCAAATGATAATTACAACAAGGACTGCGAGAGGACCATCAAAGGCACAACTGACTCGGATGACAAACATAGGAAGGAGATCAAAGCGTTGAATGACAAGCAGGACAAGATTCTTCTTAGCCAGCAGAAGCATGTGCACTTCCTTGTTGATGACGAGCAGTATCAGGTCCAAGATGGGGAGGGGAATCAGTTAGAAGAAGTTAGCTACATCAATAATCAAAGTGGCTACAAAGGATACAACAACTTCAAGACTAACAACCCCAACCTCTCTTATCGCAGCACCAACGTTGCTAATCCTCAGGATCAAGTGTATCCTCCACAACAACAACAAGGTCATAACAAACCTTTTGTTCCCTACAAGCAAGATTTTGTTTCCAAGCAGTAATTTCAGGGGAACAACCAGCAGCAACCACCACCTAGGTTTGCACCTCAACAACACCAAGGTCCTCCCGCTCCTGACGCTAACATGAAACAAATGGCACAACAGCTGCTACAAGAACAAGCATCTAGCTCAATGGACTGCAGGTACAATGACCTGAATGCCAAAGTGGAAGCATTGAATACCAAAGTCAGATATTTGGAAGGCCAATCAGCATCTACCTCTGCGCCAAAAGTTACAGGACTTCCAGGGAAGCCCATATAGAATCAAAAGGAGTATGCAACTGTTAACGCGATCACTATCTGCCATGATCGAGAGCTGCCAACTAGACATGTTCCTAACTTAATCACTGGGACAATGATGTTCAAGAAGGAGAGGCTTCTACTCAGGTTAAGGTCTCTGTTGTTGAATTCAACCACTCTGCTGGTTCTCACCATCTCATTCAATCCACCTCGGAAGAGAAAGTAGCCATAATTGAGAGAATGGCAAAACGATTCAAACCTACTCCATTACCCTCACGTGCTTTACCATGGAAATTCAGGAAAGGCTGGATGGAGAGATACAAATCTATTGCAGAGAAACAGCTTAACGAGATTGAAGTAGTGATGCCGCTTATGGAAGTTCTCAACGTGATTCATGATCCTCACAAAGATGTGAGAAATCTGATACTGGAAAGGATCAAGATGTATCATGATTCAGATGATGAATGTGATGCTAATCCATCTCGAGCTGCTGATAAGAGGATTGTTCAAGAAAAATTAGAAGATCCTGGATCTTTTACTCTACCATGTTCCATTGGGGAATTAGCTTTCAGCAATTGCCTGTGCGATCTCGGAGCCTCTGTCAGTTTAATGCCACTCTCAGTGGCAAGGAGGTTGGAATTCATTCAGTACATGCCTTGTGACCTGACTTTCCGCCTTCCGGATAGGTCTTCAAGAAAACCCTTTGGCATGCTAAAAGATTTACCCGTCATAATTAATGGAGTGGAAGTGCCTACAAACTTCGTTGTGCTAGATTGAAAGAAGAACATAAGGATCATCTAATCTTGGAAAGACCTTTCTTAGCCTCAGTGGGAGCAGTGATAGATGTCAGGGAAGGGAAAATAAATCTCAACCTTGGAAATCACATCAAGCTTCAGTTTGACATCAACAAAACTCCACAAAGGTCAACAGAAGATGGAAAAACCTCTGAAGACGATAGAGTGATCCCAGGAGAAGGATCTGAGACTGAGAGCGTAAAAGAGCTTAAAAAGAGGTCTGATAAACAAGAAAAAACTATAGAGGAGCTAGCCCACATTGTTGAGGAACTTAAGAGTAAGCTGAATCAGATGCAAAAGGAAGCTCAGCCTAAAGGCGGGATTGACATTATCCCAAGAAAAAAGTTCACTTCAAGATGGTCCGAAGAGATAGATTACCCTCCAGGAGAGAAAGAAGCCTACTTTGAAGAAAGGGGAATTGAGTATTCTGCTGCACACCTCTCCAGAGAGGACGCTGAATATGATGATGATATCAGAGAGGACAATGCAGACCCTCTGTATTACCCATTTTCTTCTTAATCAAGCGAGAGACTTTAAACAAGCTCACTTGGGAGGAAGTCCCATGACTATCTCTGTAAATAAATTTTTATTTTCTTGTTATTTTTGATTTGTTTTAGTTGTGTTTGTGGTTCTTAGTAACAAAGGAACAACGTGGAGATAGAGTAAAAATTCAAAACTCTTACTCTACAAAAGGCCTGAAGATCGAGTGTATAGCCCAGTGGAGTGCAAAATTTTGAAAACTTTTTGTTGCACGTGGAGACCTTGCATTCGAGTACATCAGTCGAGTATGTGTGATGTTTAAAACCCAAAAAATTTTAAATCATTATTATACTCGACCAACAGAAGCTACAGAGTATTACAGGGAGTTTATCAAGTTTACAGTGGATTGCCGGATTTCCTCAGGTTTTCCTAGTGAAGACAGAGCAATGATTAAGAACAAAGAGACAACCGTGAGACCCACCACTGCACCCTATGTCTCCCACGCTCCTAACCAACAGACAAGAGATCTCCCTCATCTCTTCTCAACCAACCATACCTTACCCTTACCCTTATCATCACTCGACCTCCATCTCTTCAAATCGCCCTTACCTTCACTCTTCACTCGACCTCAACAAGCATTTCTACCTCAGTTTTTCCGCAACCTAGACTCGACCGCACCTCTCTCATCTCTCATCGTCACTCACTCTCAAGTTCACCAAGTTCTTCACTCGACCACGACCAGCTTCACCGACCCCATTCATTCGACAGCCACAAAACAACACCATCACTACCACCACTCGACCGCACCAATCCACTCGACCAAGCTGGTGCCATCTCTCATCGAAAAAAACATCGTCTTCTCTTTTGCTCTGAATTCATCACTCTCCAACTTCAACAACTTCACTCGATCTCTGATTACCATCTTCCTCACCGACCCTTGACCAAACCACGCCATCTCTCCATCGCCTTATCACTCGACATACTCAACGGAGAAACGAGAACGAAGCTGCTCTCAATCCACTCGATCGCGAAGTACACCACTCGATCCAACCCTCTTACTTTGTCGCTCAACAACAACCTCCTCATCACTCGACCTCACTCTCATCGCTTCATCATCTTCAATCGTTTTGTTTCAATCACTCGACCGGTTCCCCAAATTCAACCACGGAGAAGAAGAGGAGTATATACTCGATCGCTTCACAAGAGAAAAGGAGAAAGAAGCTACTCGGCCTCCTTACCAGGCGAAGTCTTCTTCTCACCAATCCTGGAGTTCACTCGACCACAGTGAAGTTCTCTTCGCCATCATCGGTTTTCAAGCTCACTCGATCGCTGACCAAGTCTTCTTTAAATCAACGACGCCGGTTATTACTCAACCATACACTCGATCGGTTCACAAATAAGCAAGACGAATTCGATTTCCAAAACCAACAAAATCTCTCGACCGGTTATTACTCGACTTACTCACTCGACCGTGTGCTTTAGTGTTTTTGGTTTCGTTGGAACTAACGTATTAACGTTTCTCTTTGAGTTCCATCTGTTTACAGGAAATCAACATGCGTAACTACAGTAGTGAGTCTTCTATGGATCGAGAGTATATTGTGGATGAAGCTGAATCTTGGTCCACTAGACCAGAGAGAGAAGAACATGCTTACAAGAGCTTCCGTGAAGAAATAGAACGCTCAGCAGCTCGACGTAGTCAGAGAAGAGCTGAAATCGCTAGAGGAAAGAGAGCAAAGTCGAGTAGGTATGAGTTGATTGATGAGGACATCGAGACTGAGTATGAGCCAGAGTCATAGCGCAAGGAGACAAAGCTGTTGAACAAACCCGATGAGGTTCCATTCGAAGAGAATATACGACTCTTTGAGCTGAACGATTTATGGGGAACGAGGTATCCTTGCTACGAGACTTTAGCCCCGCTGGGCTACTGACGTGCAGCATCTGTTTGAGAAGTGTCATCTGGAGACACTCATGTCCTACCCATACGCTGCCTACAAGAAGGAAACGATCGAGTTTCTCTCCACAATGCAAGTGGAGATGTATCAGGGTCTCACAGAATTTGAGCTGGATACCAATGGATGAGCATCGCTATCAGTTGTTGATCAAGAAGTTGGAAGAACTGTTTGGCTTCCCTAGTGGAAAGGGAACCAAGCCTAAGTTTGACAGGGAAGAGCTTAAGGATTTGTGGGCTACTTTTGGCAACAATGTACCGCTAAACTCTGTGCGGTCCAAGACCAACCAAATCTGAATTCCTGTGATTCGCTACTTTCAGCGCTCGTTTGCCAATGTTCTTTACTCCAGGGAGTCTACAGGCACTGTGTCTAACACAGACATGGAGATGATAGATTCCGCACTTACAAGCATTCTCCGCCGTACAAAGGGAAAGAAGGTCCTGAGAGGCGATCTCAATGACGCGTCACCAGTAATGCTTATGTTAATCCACTTGTGTGGATACAGGATGTGGACGTTGACAAACGGCAAGAAGAAGGTGAGAGGAGCACTATGCGTAGGTGGCGTTGTGACGCCAATTCTGGTAGCTTGTGGAGTACCGCTGAAGGAACCAAGGTTAGAACCGAGAATGATGGATTTGGATCATTTGCGTCAATGTGAGTTCTTGGAGCATGACATGGTTGGCGACTTCGCCTCTGCATTGACGCTACTAGGATTCTCGAGGGAAGGAACATTGACTTCAAGCCTGCGCTTGAAGATCTTTATTTCGAGGGCAGTTTGCCAACTAAGGAGATCACTCACACGGAAGGAGCTACAACAGAAGAGGTTGATGAGACGGATGAAACAGATGAAGTAGAGTTTGACACGAGAATGTATCATTTCAGTGAGCATGTACCTCCAGCGAGGGAGAGCAAGAGTTTTAGTGAAGCTCACAAGAACAACAGCAAGTTATAGAAGTGGTGCAAGAAACAGGATAAGTAACTCGCCAAGTTCTTCAAGGCTATCAAGTTTCTTAAGGACAAGCTAAGCTGCTCCTCTGCCACTACAGCTATTCCGCAGGGCCAGCTCCCTCAGGACATGCCCTCGAGGAGATATGACGAGCCATAGCCTAGTGAGCAAGAGGTTCCGCATGTGCCTGCGAGGCATTCATCATTCGAGCCTCATGAATCTGGGAGAAAGAGGAGGACCACGCTCACTCGATCTAGCACCAGGATAAGAAGACTTCTATAATCTCGAAGTTTACGCGACCACAGTGCTGGCCGCAGCAGAAGGAGAGAGGTCAGGTATCCTACGAGCGGTGTTGGCCGCCACATAGCTGATGAGGTCGAGTACCCACACGCTGGAGCTGATATAGAACAGGGCGACTCGTCAATGGCCTCGGAGCAATCACAGGCAGCATTGACGACCAACTTCGTTCATTATTCGACTTAGGTAAGCGCCTCACTTCACCATTGTATTATACCATCTCTTGTGATTTGTTTTTTTATTTTGTTTCTGTGATTTGATTTGTCTTGAGGACTCTCTTCCAAGTTTAGTCACACAGTGGACTGTGTGATTTAAGTTTGGGGGAGGGATCAGGAAGTGTGTGTTGCATTGTATATACTCTTGAGTCTGCATTCATCTAAGGCATAGAAAAACGAATAAAATTTGAAAATTTTCAGAAAATGATTTCAGAAAAACAGAGTGTTCATGTAGTTGCATTACATTTAGGATTGAGTTTAGAGTGTTTCATTTAGGACTGTTGCATATGCATAGGGAATAATGATAAGATAGCCTTGTAAGCGTTTTGGTTCACCGGGTAAACTCAGTGTCCTCGTTGCTAGTTATCTGTTGCGTAGTCAATGAAATTGAAGTAAAACTGCACCATGCCTAGATTACTCTACTCAACCACACTGTCATGATCTGATACCATTCCCTATCAATCTGAACCTGAATCTGATTTTCAATTATCATGTCTGCATCAAATTGGAACTCATGGATACCTTAAAATACTTGGACTTTCTTACTCATTTTAACCACTCTTGTTAATCCAAGTAGCTGAATCTCCTTATTAGAGCAGTTAAACCAAAACCAAATCTAAACTTTCTTTCAAGCCCTATATCAGTTATTATTGTTTGTGAGGTCTTATTCCGACTAAGCTTGGTAGAAAGTGTTAGGTTCGTAACGATAGAGATAGTGTTTCATGTAGTTCTAGTTCGCATTATCCGGACTAGATAGGACTAAGTGGGCGCTTATACTTTGGGTTGGGATATGTCTAAAAGAAAAAAAAAGGATGGATTCATTGATAAGAAAAGTTAAAAGACTCTAGGTGAAGTAAGCTAAACAAGCAGAAAAAGTCTAGTAAAGGTTTTGGAATTTGTAAAGAAAAGAAAAGAGTTCTTGTTAGCTAATGAAGAAGGGTAAAATTTTAAAAAACAGGAATCTTAGTTGTTAAAGAAATCCAAATCCGCTAGATGTATCAAACTGGTGAGAGTAGTTTAGAATTGTCAGTACGCTAGGTGGTTGAGTTTGATTTATAGATCCTTTCTAGATTAGTTGTTCTTAATGCCTATTGCTTTCTGATCAACTGGAATTTGAGCCCAGACATATCTGCACCCAAAAGGTATTCGATGAAATGTCTGAACCACTAGTTCCAGAGATTCGTGGCTCTGTACCAAGGTATTGGTTGCAGGGAGCGTTTTGGCTTTAACTTGTTGGTTCGTAATGCATGTTTGGTTAGCTCTCATCAATGGTGATTGAGTCTGGGACTGGTTTAACTTGAGGGTCTCTGTTGCGGTGGCACTTAGATTTGGTTATCGAACTTGTTGTCTAGGGATAATTTATTGAGCATGTCAATCATCTGTAAACTGAGGAAACGAAACTACTCAATTACCCCATCCTCGGGAATTCTTTATCCAATTGATTTCTTTGTTTACTCCGCTATTGTTTACTTCACCTCGCTGCCTGTTGTTTAGTTTTTGTATTTTCTGCCTGTTACTCGACCTGATACTCGCCCACCAAGTTGTCTGGCAACGGACTGTGCAGCCGAGTATCCCTGTAACATTTTCTGTCTATTACTCGACCTGTCACTCGACCACATCCAGTGCTTGGCAACAAGCAGTGTTGGTCGAGTGTTTTTACTGTTCTGCTTGAATTTCTGTTTCCTGCATGTTCACTTAGGACTGCTAGAACACCCGAAAACCTCTTATTGCTTGGCTTAACTCTGTGAACTCTGATTGTATCTTGATTGCTAGCATCACACCCATTTGGATTGACAACCTAAAATACTACAATGACATGATTGGTGTTTTAGGATAATTGACTAAAAACCTATCATCATTTGGCAGAGTTATTCTGGTGGCTGACTTGTCACCGCACAAATCGTGTGATGGTCGAGTTATTCTACCATAATGGCTGACTTATAATAGATTATTCGATGTTACGGCTGAGTTATTCTAACGTGGTGGTTGACTTGTCATACCCAAATGTCGCTGTAATCAAAGAACCCAAACGTCACTCGAGGACTACATATACACCGGTTTACCTTCTTATAAATATAACTGAATAGTCAAGAACCTAAACGTCGTTAGAGGACTATATATACACTGGTTCACTGTAGTCTTTTCTCTTGTCGATTCTTCTCTTTTCTCTTGTCCCTTTCTCTAATCTCTGAGCAACAAATCTCTTCCGAGATCATGGATGCATCAGGTTCCAACAAGAGGCCGTGTGTGGATGACGGTTCCAACATCAGGCTGCTTGAAACGGAGAAAAATTCAAAGGCATCATCTCTCTCATCAGATGCAACATTTATAAGGGAGACGGAGGAAGCACACTTCTTGGATCTCAAACTGCGTGAGAAAGAAACGGAACTTAATCTCCTAAAGAAAATGAAGAGGATGGAGGATGGATTTAACGTGGAGGAAGAGTTCCAGAAAGTGGAGGAGCAGGTAAGCAAGGCTTACAAGGAGAAGAATGAATTCAAGGTGATTAGTATTGATTGGGATAAAATGGGGTATGGATCGACCGAGAGTTAAAGTTTTGAATTAGATGAAGAATGAAGATGGCGATTGATGTGATTGTATCGTCATAACAAAATTACATCACCATGTTATTTAAATTTTGTTTTATGTTATTGAATTGCAGTACTCCTACGTTATCAATGTTAAATCTTTATTTTTTATTTTAAATTTTGCGTAACCGTGATTCATAATCTATTTTCTATTCAGCTGAGTTATTCGTGTGTTATGGCTGAGTTATGCTAACGTTAAGGCGGACGTATCTTATATTAACTTGATGTTTCGTTGAGTTATTCGTGTGTGATGACTGAGTTATTCGTGTTTGATTGCTGAGTTATGGTAACACTTAACGGCTGAGTTATCGTAGACTAATTCGAATGTTTGATTGAGTTATTATAATATGATCGCTGTGTTATCATCGCACAAACCGGTAATGTCGTTGATTTAATTAAAATTGACAGTACAAGGAATTTCAAATTGAAAAAACCAGATTTAGCTAAGATCACAGATACTTGTTCAAGCTCTCATACTTTTTCTCTAGCATTTCAAATTTCTTTTCCATAAGAAAGATCTTTTCCGTCTGAGCCTCAATGCGCTTATTGGCTGCTTCCTGATCCTTCTTCATCTCAATTGTCTCCTCTTTTATCATGTCAAACTCGTCACACAATGCAACAGTCCACCATCTCTTGAAACCGCAGCCTCGACCGAGACCCTTAAAAATAAGAGGTTGATTCCTAGGGATACAAAAATAAAAGAAATAAAATAAAGAATCATAACTCAACAAAAGATGCTTACATCTGATATTTCATACGGACAACTGAAATAAAGTTTTCTGCTTGTAATAGGATCCCGAGAAGTGGCAACGACAACCTTAGCATTGCAATCAAACTCGATCGGAACGCCCTTATTGCGCCTCCTGTTTTCGCCATACCTCATTCTCATCCTTATTTCCATACAATCGAGCTCCTACATTAACACAAACAGGAAAACCACCACATTAGATGGCTAACGATTTGTACTATTCAGTGGTCAAGATAAATACCTCATTTCCTTCTGAAAACGTTTTCTCATCAACTCTAGAGTCGTCGTGGAAAAGAGATCTTTGCGCCATCTTCTTTTCTTCAATTAGTGGGGCACTAAAGCACTAAATCTATATAGTCGTGTATGATACAAAAAGCACTAATCAAATGACGGCGTCTTGTATTGGCTGAATAAATTTAGAAGTGGCTGAGTTATAAAAGCTTCATGGCTAGGTTACAGACATATTAATATTCTTTAATATATCATTATCGAGATTACAAAAGCGTTTTTATGGAGAACCGCCAATGATGACTGGGTCCATAATCACACGAACACGCTACCAGTTAATATTCAAAATAATTCAAACGAGTTCGAAATGATTCGAGTAACTAAACCCTCAAATATTCAAATTTTATGTTTGGCGGTGGAATACCAATACGTTACGGCAGAGTTATGCCAGAAGATTTTGTGGTTTGACCGAGTTATGAGAAACCAGAAGTTATTATGAGATTTCAAACTAGCCACCAAATTGTTGGTTCTATTAGTGTCAAGATCTTTAATATGAAAACAGAAAATAAATTGGGTTTTCGGTAAGTGTCGATTAACAAACTATGTTGACCGAACGTCTAGGAATGATGTTGGATAAAGTATGATGTTGATAAAGTACATAGATTATGAGCTAGTTTCATGATTCCACTAGTTGGAATGTGATTATGATATGTTAATTACTTGATTGTACCAACTGATGGTTTAAGAAAAGCACTTTCATGGTTTGGCTGAGTTATAACATTCACATGGCTTAGTTATGCCTGAGTTGTGGCTGAGTTGTGTCAAACTACAGAATGTTATTAAATAGGCCCATTTGTATACTAGCATTATTGTTGGTTCTATTGATGTCCCTTGCTCGGATAGAATAGAATTAGCTTGTTGTTTTAGGTTAAGTTTATCGAGATTCTTTACTATATCATTATCGAGATTACAAACAGAGTTTTTATGGAGAACCGCCAATAATGATTGGGTCCATATGCACACGAACAAAAT